GTGTGATATCATTACACCAATCTATATTTTCTATAAATTTTATTGTATATCATACTCTAAATATATTCATCAATATAGACTATAACTGTGATGCTGTTGTTTCATGTCTAATTGTTAGACAATCATATTTTTTTCAAACTCATATTTATACTTTTGCCATGCATAATATATAAAAAAAAAGTATTAGCGTATGTAAATAATGCTATTCAAAATGTATAACATTTGATCCGCCTAAGCATTAGTTGTATGTATCACATAAGAATTTGTAAAACATAATTTATCATATTAATTATAGTCCCATAACTATGGATGGCCATCTTGTTGATGACAGTTACCAAACAATTCCTTAATCGGAAAGTACCGTTTCAACTCCCAATTTCACATAACCAAAAAACATACTTCACGCCAAAAATAAAAAAAATTAAATAAAAAAATAAATAAAAAAAATAATAAATAATAATAATAAATAGAATAAGAAACTATTGCACCCACTCCAACAACCTTTGGAAACTTAAAAGCAACCAAAGCCATTATATACTTCCAAGTCACTTCCTCAAAAACAAAACCAAATCAAAACCTTAAAGAAAAAAAAAAGAAAGAAATAATGTCTCGGGTCGACCCGTCTACCGCGTTAGCAGAAACCGTCTCGTGGTACGCCTCGTTGTTGTTGGCTCTGATGCTCGTCCTCAGCTGTTGCGAGTCGGGCGAGGGTGGGGTCCATGTGGAGTCCGAGATATTGGGAAACGTGTTTTCGAGCGAGAGGCCGTGTGACGAGATCTATGTGGTGAGAGAAGGCGAGACGCTACACACAATAAGCGAAAAGTGTGGGGACCCGTTTATTGTGGAGGAGAACCCGCATATCCACGACCCGGACGATGTCTTCCCGGGTTTGGTCATCAAGATTACGCCTAATTTGAAGAATAGGTAGAATCATGTTTTGCTCTCGAGTTTGTTTGAGCATGCATTTTCAGCTTTCTTCGTTTTGTTTTGTCTTTCTTTTTTTTTTTTTTTTTTTTTTTTTTTTTTTTTTTTATGTTTGTTTTTACAAATGAAGTATATTACTACAATTTGATCTGGAATAATATTATATTGTGTATACAATATTATCGTTAATTATATCACTGCATGGAACATCTATGGGAAAAGATATGGATACTAATATTGTAATGTTACAATGTGTACATCAAATGTTATTAATTCTCCTCCTCTTAAGTGAAAGTGATTATACTCATATCTTTTAGGGAAATGTTACGGTTCCGTTACGGAACTATTTTGTTGGAGTTTGTAACCGTTAGATCAACTATAAGCGACAATTACAATTTACAAACCTCGACAGAATGGTTCGTAATGAGACCGTATCATCTCCCATCTTTCCAATTCCATTTTTTTATTCATTTTTCAGGTTTGAACGGTGTAATTAACCTTGCTAAAGATATGTGTTCTTTTTGGACAAAATTAATTGACGTTGCTTAGAGTAGCTTCTGAACATTAATTTTCATTAAGCTGTAAAATCTGTTATATTAATAGAGGTCAAAGAGAAAAAATAAAATTAAAAAAATACTATGAGTTTTAATTTGTAAATGGGAATTAATATATCAACCGTCCATTTTTTTTTATTATTTTTTTTTTTTGGTACAAAGAAGGAGACCGATGACCTAAGACTTAAATACGAATACGTCGGGGTACGACACCCCAATAATATCATAATGAGAGGAAACCTACAAATTTAAAGTAATATAAACAAACGTCAAAAAGTACTATTAAACTAATGTAAAGGAATGGAATATAATTTAATTTAATTGTGCTGTTTATTGCACTATACGAGTTCAATTTCACATCATATATATGTATAATCCTTGTCAATGTTGTTTTTTCTTTGATACAATGCTTTGTTTTGGATACAAGCGAACAAAATAACTCAAATTGAAACATCGAACTACTTTGACCCATACGCTTTGCTTGATATTTAATTTTAAATTTGGATATAAAACTAATTTTTCAATTTTGTTTGGTCCATAAATTTTTTACTAAAGTATAAATGGATACAAAATACTTGTTAGAATATCACTTGTGAGTTGTCCCACATCGTTCATACATGGAAAATAGACTCACCTTATAAGTCTAATGGGCTACTCCTCATTCCACCAATTGGTTTTGAGATGGAGCCCCACTTGGGCTTCATGTTAGTGGGACCGCACCCGTATTTCCCCTAGTTTCTTACATGGTATCAGAGCCGGTTCTATTGGGACTGTATTTCTTACATGATATCAGAGCGGGTTCTATTGGTACCGTGCGATGACGTACCCGTTTATGGGAGTTTGCTTCCCCACGTACCCGTTTAAGGGAGTCTGCTTCTAGTATGGTTGGGTGGGGCACCCAACCCAGTTGGGCTTGGGTTTCCGAAGGACTCACAAGTGAGGGGTCGTGTTAGAATATCACTTGTGAGTTGTCCCACATCGTTCATACATGGAAAATAGACCCACTTTATAAGTCTAATGGGCTACTCCTCCTTCCACCAATTAGTTTTGGAATGGAACCCCACTTGGGCTTCATGTTAGTGGGACCGCACCCATATTTTCCCTATTTATATTTAACTTATTATTAATGAATATGTTGCGAGTTACGAAAGACACGTACAACCATCTAGTAGAGCGGACGGATTCGAGACTTGCGGGTTGGCGCATGAAGGCACTTTCTTTAGCCGGAAGAGTAACCCTTACGCAATCCGTCCTGACCACACTACCACATTATACCATGCAGACTTCGAAGATCCCGGGGGTCGTAACGGACGGACTTAACCGGAGGACACGCGCATTCGTTTGGGGCAGCACTAATGAGAAGAGAGCAGTACATCTCGTAGCCTGGCCGAACGTTTGTCGACCGAAAGAGGATGGGGGATTAGGTGTAAAGGATCTCGATCGTATGAATAACGCGCTACTCATGAAATTGGGGTGGGGATTGGTGACCAAACCTGATGCCCTTTGGGTCCGAGTATTAAAAGAGAAATATGCATTAAACCTTTCGGCGACTCTGGAATCATTTCCTCAGAGACGGATCTGCTCTTTTACGTGCTATACGCACGGTTTGGCCCCATGTAATTAAAGGCATTTGCTGGGTCTTGGGTGATGGGACACAGATTCGATTCTGGCTCGACCCGTGGCTGGGTACGGATGGGCCATTAGTTAGGCATGTTCATAACCGGGCCCATATCGTGAACTTATTTTCCACTGTAGCTGACCACGTGGACGATTGTGGGGAATGGAATTGGAAGTCCTTTCATGGAGTTTTACCTGCTACCGTAATTCTCCGCATAGCAGGAACACTCCCTCCTCGAGTTTCAGCTGGGGAAGATCGAGTTAAATGGGGGCACTCGGCAGATGGCAATTTCACTACCGGCTTACCAGGCTTTATCGAATCATCAGCATATCCCTAACAAGCCGCTTTGGAAGATCATATGGCGCTCTCCGGCTCCGCAAAGAGTTAGCATGTTTCTGTGGCTTGTCGTTAACGAACGGCTGTTAACTAATGTAGAACGAGCCAGGCGACACATGTCGGATGTCGTGGTGTGCGCACTTTGTGGTGATGTGGAGTCGACCATCCACGTCTTGAGGGACTGTCCAGCTGCGGCGTCGCTGTGGAAAAAACTGCTGCGGTCCGAGCCGGAGGGTGACTTCTTTCACCAGCCCTTGATCACTTGGCTAAGGACAAACCTCTTGCTGAACCAATTGGGTTATACTGCGAATTGGAATTGTCTTTTCTCGATTGTGACTTGGCGGCTGTGGACCTGGCGCAACGAGAGGATTTTTAAACAAAGAACCATTAGCGTCGAGGCTAGAGTCTTGGATGTGCAGCGCTTGGTGGATTCATACGTACAAGCTGAGGCGGCGTACCGTACGATTGGGGCTAATACCTGCGTCACTCGGCTGATTCGATGGAAGCACCCGGACCCGGGATGGTTGAAGGTGAACACAGACGGTGCGTTTGATTCCCGAACAGGGTTGAGTAGTGCGGGTGGCTTAATAAGGGATGCCTCTGGCAGTTGGATTTCGGGATTCTATCACGGGAGCCGAGCTTTGGGGGCTTTTCCATGGACTCTTATTGGCTTGGGAGTCGGGGCATCGACAGTTTATTGTCCAGTGTGTTGTAAAGATGGTAAGGAATGAGGACGGCACATTTGGGAATCATGAAGCCTTGGTTAAGGCTATACAGGAGTTGCTAAAACGAGAATGGACTATACGGCTTACGCATATTCACAGGGAAGCAAACTTCGCAGCAGACCACCTAGCGAGCATGGCGGGCAAATACCCGGTTGGAGTGCATCGAGTTTCTTTGCCACCTCCGGGCGTCAGTGCTTGGCTTGAGCATGATTGCATTGGGGTGTTCTACCCCCGGCGAGTTCTAGCCTAGGCTTTTGGCCTTCTTCATTGCACCAA